AATTGGGTCAGCCAAGTTGTTGCCGAGTCGAGTTGCCACTGATGCTGTTGTTGTGTTGGCAGTGCTGTTGTTGTTGCTCTTAAAATATTGCACTGACAAGTTGCTGCTCCACTTTGTGGGCTAAAACTGTTTTGCTAATGCCATTCGTCACATTTGCCTTCTAGTGTGTGCTTGTTGTTGTTCTTGGTTTTCTGGTTCCCCATTTGTCAGCGGTTGCTATTATATATGTACGAGTATGTATATGTGGGCTTTGTTGCCTGAGTTGCGTTCAAGTTCTTTTATGTTTTAAAATTTTTTTCACATTTTTGCTTTGAAGCTTTGTTTTGTTTGTTTTTTTCATTTCATATTTTGTTTTTGTTTTAATCTTGCTCCAAAAGCAAAATATTATTTATTTATGTAAATAAGCTGTTTTCTCGATTGTCTTTCCAAATGCAAGTATTCTTAAGTTTTTCATTTCCAAAAACCACTTCGTGTTGTCTGCGGCAAAGTTAAGGGGTTCTCAGGGGTATTTCGAAATCCCTCATCTAATGTGAAGTGATTGGTAGTTTGGTTGGCTGAGCAATTAATCTTAGCAAAAATATTGTTCATAAATACAAATTGAGATCGCTGTGAGTGAAAAGTGTGGGAAAAATTAAAAATTACGTTTTGTGAAGGGGGAGGAAACACTCTGTAAAAAAGTGTAGCGAAATTATTGTCTTGGTGTTATGGGGGATATAAACAAATGATGAAATGAGTGCGGAAAAATTAGATGTTTTCTCAATGATCTCACTTCTTCATTTTGATTTTCCTACCCTATTCAGTCTAGTCTAAGCAAAAAGTCCATCTAACCAACGTAAATTTGTGTACTTAACTTTTTATTCCGAGCACTTTCAACTATCAGCATAAAAATCAATTCTGCGTGTTACATGAAGATAACGGCAAATTTATTGTGATCAAGCTGTGGATACATGCGGAAACTCATACAAACCTTCCTCTTGCTATTGAGTAGCAGCGACAATAAATATAAAAGATTTAAATAAAATTAAATAAACTAATTAAACTAAACAAAATCAAATAAAATAAAAAAAAAATGAAATAAAATAAAATAAAATAAAATAAAATAAAATAAAATAAAATAAAATAAAATAAAATAAAATAAAATAAAATAAAATAAAATAAAATAAAATAAAATTAAATTAAATTAAATTAAATTAAATTAAATTAAATTAAATTAAATTAAATTAAATTAAATTAAATTAAATTAAATTAAATTAAATTAAATTAAATTAAATTAAATTAAATTAAATTAAATTAAATTAAATTAAATTAAATTAAATTAAATTAAATTAAATTAAATTAAATTAAATTAAATTAAATTAAATTAAATTAAATTAAATTAAATTAAATTAAATTAAATTAAATTAAATTAAATTAAATTAAATTAAATTAAATTAAATTAAATTAAATTAAATTAAATTAAATTAAATTAAATTAAATTAAATTAAATTAAATTAAATTAAATTAAATTAAATTAAATTAAATTAAATTAAATTAAATTAAATTAAATTAAATTAAATTAAATTAAATTAAATTAAATTAAATTAAATTAAATTAAATTAAATTAAATTAAATTAAATTAAATTAAATTAAATTAAATTAAATTAAATTAAATTAAATTAAATTAAATTAAATTAAATTAAATTAAATTAAATTAAATTAAATTAAATTAAATTAAATTAAATTAAATTAAATTAAATTAAATTAAATTAAATTAAATTAAATTAAATTAAATTAAATTAAATTAAATTAAATTAAATTAAATTAAATTAAATTAAATTAAATTAAATTAAATTAAATTAAATTAAATAAAATTAAATTAAATTAAATAAAATTAAATTAAATTAAATTAAATAAACTGAAATAAAACAAGTTGAAATGAAATGAAATAAAATAAAAAAAGAAATCAAATAAATTAGTTAATAACTTATTTAGGAAAATAATTTCAAGCATTTAGTTATTTAGTATTGTAGTATACTGATTTCAATTTTATTCACAAATAGTGACGTTGGCATCAAATAGTAGCTCATTGAACTTGTCAATGTCAGATTTGTAAATAACAAAAAACAAAAAAAGGAAAAAACAAATATTACACAGTAAGCAGTGCTAGTAATCTAAGAAAATGTAAACAAATCAAACTACAAAGAGCAGTCAATGCCGACTCTTGCGCTTGTGTTCGTGTTGCTATGTATGGATGTGTAAGTGTGGCGCATGCGTGGCTGCCGTACAGTGTAAATATACGCCTTCGGCACTGACATTTATTTATTCATTTACCGCCAAATGATTGGTGATTTCTTTCGAAAATGAATACAAAATTGCAAGCCTGATTGCCAGCTGTGCTGTGGAACATTCAGTGAAGTAGATAGGGAGAGAGAGGAGTTTGGTTTTTGTTGGTGCTGTGTGCATGTATTTGACGTTTACTACGCGGGCGCAAATCTTCAAAGTCAGCAACGACAAGCGAGCGACCGACAAACGCCTGTCATGACAATTGACAGTTGGCAACATCCGTTCGTTTATTACCGCAAAATATAAAAAAATATATGCAAATGTATGTGTGTGTGTATGCAAATATACAAACAATTCAAAAGAAGTTTTGTTGCAAATTCATTAGCGACAGCAACAATATTTGCTGGAAATGAAAATGAAAAGCGTTTAGCTTCAGTTGTGCCGGTAATTGAAAGAAAGTGAACTGCAAATAAAAATACATACATATTTACGCATAATTGGCTGTGCAACTACCTCAATTCATTTGATATTTTCGACAAGTGATTGCCACTCGGCGACGTCGGCGTAATGGGTGCACATAGCTCAAAGGAAAAATTGTCACGTTCATATTCGGAACGTTACATACATACACAAGTAATTGAACGCGAACGTTTCGGCAGTTTCGGAAAGCGTGCGAAAGGTGAGTGTTTTTAAAATGTGGCGTTTCGTAGTTACATAAATCATTTTGGGTGTGGGAGCAAGGGTACAAGATATTATTCTCTTAAAGATATGTTAAGTTTTCTCAAGAAATAATATAAATAAATAAATATAATGTCTTTAGTTTTGGGTTCATACGTTTTTTGAAACCATTTTGAATAAAAAGATACGTAAAAATACATTAACTCAGCATTAGCATCAATTCAAGTTCTATTTAGGACAAACATACATACATATAAGTTTAGTCTGGTTTACCATATAAAAACATAATTTTCAAAGCATTTAGCAATTCAATCATTACAATTCTTATAATTGTACTTTAATTTATTTTTGAATTATTGAAATATTGGATTTTTATAAAAAAAAATGATACTAAAGGATTAAAAAATTCATATTAAAATTTTGTTTTAACTGTAATTCTCAAATTTTTCATTTAACAGGTCATCAATACATTTCTCTTCGCTTCAAATATTGCTTTAGCAGCAGATAATTGTCATTCCAAAAACAATTGGAGAACAATGAGAATTTGCTACACTTGTTCATACAAATTTGCAAAACAAAAAATAAAATAAAATAAAATACAATTTCTCTATACCGAAGGCTTCAAATAAGTGGAGAAAAATGAAAAAATACATTGTTTAGAGAAAAATTTTCAATTATTCCTGAAATGAAATACACAAAATGTTTCCCAATAAAAATGTCAAATACGCGCAAAGGCGGATTTTTCCACGAGTTTTTCGTTCTTGTATGTAATTGGAATGAAAAATTAAAATTTTTCCAATATCTGCACGATTTAATCGCAGCCAAGCCAGATGGTCACGTTCCAGCCATAAACCAGCTAAACGATAAGTAAGGGCACGTTTCTTGGCAGTCCGATGCGTGGAAATGAAGCTGAAGTTCATTACTTATGTACGACGCACATACATACATCTGTAATGCGCTTATCTCAATGGCGCACAAAAACCTGCTTTTATTGTACATACATACAAACGCATATCTACGTAAATTATTTCAGTCAAAGATATTTGAATATTTCATTAAACGCGTGCCCATGAAGATATTTTTTCGGTCCGAATTCTTTGAGATTTCACCCCGAAAAAGTAAAATGGTAAAAAAAGAAAATTGAAATACAAAAAATTACCGTTATTATTTGATATTGATATGTGCACTTTAAAAGCGTACGCAATGTTCAAAATTAATTTTCAATTCAATACCATTAGTTTCTGAAGTGCAGAAATTCAATTTTTCGTTACGTCATGTGGAGCACTCGCAATGGAGGAGCTCAGCGAGTGCGCGCTGAAACTCACTGGAACTCGCTAAATATCTATGTGCACACACGCTTTCAATAATTACAACGTGGAGAAGACATATGATTTCATTGTATGAGTTATGTAGCCGCAAAGCTTTTGTATATTTGTCTTTTTCCCTTCGGCATTAGTTGAAGCTCCCTGCAGCGTGTTTCCATTTGCAAAGCGTGAAATTATGCGAACGTGATCGGGCATAAAAAGCGAGAAGTATTTGGAATTTGGAAAAACTAATACTTTATACAGCACACCATTTCGAAAATGTTTTAATATTTTTGCACATTAGGGTGGTTCGAGGAAATTCTTTCAGCAAAAAAAAAAAAATGTGTGACATAAAAAAATTTTAATTAAATAATTTTCAAAAAAAAAAAAAAGAACAAAAACATATAGTTCAATATTTTTCGAAACAACTGCCATTAATTAGTTCTTAATCTTAACAAAAAGCTTCAATATAAAATGCAAAAAATATTTAAAAAATTCAAGCTGAGCCCGATTTATTAAAGACAAATTTTAATGCATCAAATATGAAAAAAAATAAGAGATATAATTTTAGACCTTTATTTAGTTTCCGTTCAAAAATTCGTTTTTCAGTTGTAGTTTTGAATATAACGTTTCTAACTGTAGATTTTATGTCTTTAATGATGGTGAAATTTATTGAATAATACATTTTTTTTAAATGATCAGGATTTGATTGACATTCTTTAATTAAGTCCCTCTTTTTTCCTTATTTTTTTGCAGGAGCAGCCAAAAAGCGTGATGTACGCAACTTGAGCATATCACCGACAGATTTGGGACCGCCACCCAAGGCTCAACAGACTACCAAAAGCACATCAACGCGACTCAAGCCGGCGGCTATCTCCTTGACACGTAAGTACTCTTTCTCTTAAAAAACAAAAAAAAAAAATATATATATATATATATATACATATATGTATATATATTTTTTTAAAGAATGCCTCAGATCAAGCGAAAATTTCAAGTTTTGACGAACTTGAACAAAGTCCGACCATTTCCCACGCATTTAAGAATTAAAACGAAACTTAAATTTTCTTTGAAGAAAAAAACTTTACGTTTATTTTAATACTGCATATTGAGCTCTGTACTCTCTAACACAACCCGAAACCATTGGCCGGCCTCGCTTCGATACCGCGCGCCATCAAGCGACAGTTGTGCTCTTCCAAGCGCAAACGCGCTTCGTCGACACTCAGCTCCTCCACTGGCGACCATAAACGCTCAGCTATCGCGCTTACTCTTGGAAATGTGGTGGGCAAGACGTTATGCTCATTAATCCACTCACTCCAAAGGCAAGCCTCGCCGCCGATAACATGAGCCTTCTGCGCCTTGTTACCATTAAAGTCTGTCGGTTCCACATTATAGAGCTTCTCCCAATCGGCGCCAGTGTCCAACACATACAAATACCAACCGTCGCTCATTATGACATCGTGTCCCTTTTTCGTAAGTGTGGCCATTGTTTTCTTATAATCAAACCAAACTTGTGCGATTGTGCCTTTCGGCCATTCCATATAGGAGTTTTCGATCATGGCCTGGTGGAGTAGGTGGGGGAATTAAATTTTTTAAATATCTTGCACTTTGTATTGTTAAAAACAAACCTCCTGCCACACCATCTGTAGCCAGCCCATTGCGGAGATGTTCGCAGAGTAGCGCTCCAAATATCTGTATGGAAGATCCCCATTATCCAGTCCATGCGCCTTTAGATAGTCTTGAATGTCAGCGTTGGACTCCCAACAAGCTGAGTCCACTTCGTCCACACCGAGATGCAGATATTTGTCGGGAAAAAGCGTTTTTATTTCACTGTAAAGACCACAAAAGAATGAGAAAATTTGGTTAATAAGGAGTACCGAGTTTACCTGAAGAGTTTGTAGAGAAAATCAAAAGTTGATTCTTTTGTGGGATTCAGTGGTCCGATTTGGCCTTCAAATTTGCCAGCACATTTCGTCATAATCTCGGGATGGGAAGCGCCCCATGAGGCGGTGTGAGCTATGATGAGCAGTGTAAATTGAATATAAACATTTAAATTCTTCAAAATCAAATCTCTGGCTCCCACCTGGTGTATCGAACTCAGGCACCACACGTACACCGCGCATACGTGCAAATTTCACCACCTCCAACACATCGGCCTTGGAATAGGTCAGTTCCGGTCGATAGGCGCCCTTCGCTGAGAGCTCTGGAAATACGCTTGAAACGTACGGGAACGCTGAGTCATCCGTCATGTGCCAGTGGAAGACATTTAGTTTGTTGTACGCCATGCCTTCGATGAGTTGCAAGATTTTCGCTTTACTCACAAAATGTCTTGCCGAATCCAACATTAGGCCACGATACTTGAAGCGAGGTTGATCGTAAATTTCTGTCCTACGAGTGAGTAGCTGTCAACAGCAAAGGCGAGTAGGAGACGGGGAGGAGCAAGCGAAGCGGTTGTGTGGCATGCAATTTATTTTATAAAGCGTTTCTGACGTTAATGGTTTAAATTTGTCACTTTTACTTACCAGCCCATTCGACATTGGCACCAACAGTTGAACGAATGTCTCCAGACCGCGCAGTATACCCCAAATGGAGTCGGCCCGCACCACTCCGTCGCCGCGCACATAATCTGAGTCGTGTGAAAATGCGAAAAATACGAAAAAGTTATGGGAAAAATAAATAAAACTAAAAAAGTGTTCAAGTTTTATAAAGTGACATAAAGCGGCGTGAGATAAATTAAAAAGATAGAACAGCGCACACACACACAACGAGTGCAAGCGATGAACGAGTAGCGATTAATGCAATGCTCGTTCGTACTTAATTGCACTCGTTTGCTTGGCGCTTGCTGGTTGAAGGACGTGCTTGCTGCCCTGTCGCTGCTACTGCGGTTACTTCACTGTCAACTTAATATTCCCTAACCATTTCAATTACTTATTTATACGTGTATATACAGCACTGCGTATGCACTTACATGACTCATCCATGTCGAGATGTGGCAAGCTCTCGCAGGATTGTGTCAGATTGACGCGAAATTTCCGGATGATAGCAAAATTGGTGGTGGCAGGGGTACTGAAATTTCCATTCGCTGTAGCGGCTATAATTTTGGAGTAACGTGTGAGGGCAGCTCGGAGAAGAGCGCAGTTTTTATTGACAGCCTGAATTATATACGTAATTATATAATTGTTTTCTTTTTATTTCTGAATTTCTAACTCAAACATACTTACAACAAATTGAAAATCAGAACTATTCACTGCATAGAACTTATCACTTTTCACTTGTCGATAGGGCTTGGGCCAGACCTCACCTGTGGTGTTATCACTTTTTAAATAATTTTAAACACATAAAATATTTGGTTTTACCAACAGTGGCCCGGAATTGTGGACCAAAAGTGAGATAGCCACCGTCACTTTGGCTAATTTTGAACTCTGTTATAAAAATTAAGAAACTAAAAATTGAATAAAAATTGCGCATTTTCAATATTTGCCGTGGATGCTATTCTCCTTTGCTGAGAACACTAAACTGCTCAAAGTACTTAAAAAAGCATTATGCTGATAAGCTTGTGGGCTTGGTTAACGCACACCTTTGGATATTGACACAAGTGGAATTTTCTTAAATGCCTATGTATGTATTTACACATATATGTATATAATGCAAACAGTTGTAAGCATCTGTAGAGCATTCCCTGCTGGAATTTTGGACGCAGCCAAGGTCAGTTATTTAGGTCATTTAAATCATTATTTGAGTTGTCAAATTTCGTATTCACACAGCTACATTTTAGTTTAAGCGGTTTTGTTAAATTTTCTTTCGCTTTGATTATATTATTGATAAAAAATAAAAGGAATTATACCAAACTATTTTTTTTTTAAATAAAATATCTTTTAGAATCAGATTGTCTGAAGTTTTCTATTCCTTCTATTGGCAATTTGTTTTACGTTCAGTCAACGTTTAAGCACAATTTTTCTAATTCGGCGTTTCAAAATAAAACTATTTACATTATGTCTACTGAAATAACAAACACATGAATCGGAGGGCTTGATTATACATTCATATTCTGCGCCAACCCTTTTCCAGTGTTGCCAATACCCCATAAGTTAGGTGACTGCTCATTAAAAGCTTACGATATTTTCTTCTCTGTCCCGAATTTAAGTGTTAAAGACAATAAACTTTCAACTCGTTCGTAGCAACCGAATTAGGTCTTATTGAGTAAAACAAATAAACAAGCAAAAACAAATAAGTGGGAATATTTCGTAAAAGTTGCACCGGAATAAATAAAATAATAGGAAGGAATACAAATATTTATCCAGATATTTGCTTTTTTTCTAACAAACAATAAATAAATTGCATAGTAACTATATATATATATATATACAGAATTCAAAGCATACGTATTTTATCGGTATACAAATAAAATTAAGTGCAAATATATGAACAGAGTCATTTTTATATTTTTGATCAAGAAGTGAAAATTCCTTCTTCCTCCAAGCATTCCATAAATTCCTTTTTGACCTTTTACTTTTCGCTTAGATCTTTTTAACTACTCATTTAGTTTTATTTTAATTTCATAATATTAATTGTGAGAAATAAATTAAAAAAAAATAAATATTCCCGCTTTTTTTTGTTTCATCTTGGGCTAAGAAAAGAAAAATTTAATTGGAACATTGCCTTCAGCTCTAAACTGGACTGCACAACTCTCCAGCCAGTTGGGCTTATCTAAGTAGTTTCTTCTTGCCGTTTAAGCTTTACTATGGGTCAAGCGCTCGCCTTCTTTTGCAATATCCCTATACGAAGCAAAGTCGTGGAAAGAAGGACTTTGTTCGCCTGTGGGCTCATCACTCTCTTTCTTTTTATTATTTTCAATGTGCGCTGAAATGCTCGCTTAATTTAGCCATTGTTTATTTCTGCGAAACTTTTAGCTTTAGAGTATACATATATGTATATAGTATACACATATGTATGTGTGTACATATAAATTGGAATTTGCCTTCGTAGATCAGCGTGAAATTGAACAAAAAACGAACAAAGAGACTTGATTGTGTTGCATAAAAAATTCATTCAAATGCAATGTAATACAATTGTGGTGACTGCAAACAACTCGTGGTCGCAAAACACCCATACATATGTATATGTAATGAAAAAAATATGAAAAAACCAAAATTTTTTTAAACCATATGGGAAAAATATATTGAGAGCATTTTTCTGGTAACGCTCTTTTTTCAAAACAATTTGCATCCAGCTGGATTCGAAACGTTTTCCACATTTTTAATTTCACTTGAATTTTTTGAATTTTATTTTTCTGAACTCCTTTTATTGTTTTCTTAAAAATCATTGAATTTGCAACTTAATAATACTCAGCATATGGGAAAATCTAAATCTTTTACAAAACCGTTAAAAGTGACATTGTCCATTGGATAACAGACAAATAAAATAAAATGAAATAAAATAAAATAAAATAAAATAAAATAAAATAAAATAAAATAAAATAAAATAAAATAAAATAAAATAAAATAAAATAAAATAAAATAAAATAAATTAAAATTAATTAAAATAAAATAAAATAAAATAAAGTAAAATAAAGTAAAATAAAATAAAAAATAAAATGAAATAGAATAACAGAAATAAAAAAAAATAAAGTAAATTACCGTTAAAATAACAGGCCAAGAAACTAGTTGAGCGTAAGCTCGTCATTCGTACCGCAATCCGCAGGTGAATGCATACAACAGTGGCACCTTCCTCACAAACACCCACACTTCCCCGCATAAGCACTGCATGTGAATTCTGCAATAACGAAGTTTTGTACTCCATTCCATTTTATTTAATTTAAATTTTTTGCTTATCGACTTACTCAGTTGACGAAAGCCAACAGCCTTTTAGTTAAATTGAATTTTTAATAAATGTATATAAAGCGCATAAACATTGCGGTAAATGCGCAAAAAATGTAAAAATCAAAAGCGTTTAAAAAGCGAAAATAGCTTGCAACCCACACACCATCGTTCGTTGGTCGTTTAAATATCGCAAATGAGAAATCTAAGCGCCACCTCTCGAGTGTGCGGTATCCACTTTCAGCTTTCAGTATCTTAATTCTATAATTGCGATCAACGCTTTGTTGCTTTGCTTGTTCGTTTGGAATTTATTGAAAATCACACCACGCAATTGTCGCCTCAGCTAGTTCATCGCTGCTGGCTTGGTAAGATGATTACAAACGGCCGCAGATTTCATTACCAAAACGTGACTTTTATGACGGCCCACACAATCTGTTTTGTTTACCATATCACTGTTGTGGTTTTTCATTTTTGTTGCTCTGATTGCAATTGGGATTTTACAAGTATTTGTAAAAAAATATGTTAAAAATGGGTAAGCTGATACTGGTACATTTTGTTGTCGTTTTTTGATCACAATTCTGCCTCAAACTCTACAAAAACAACAATGGTGTGGCCAAAACAACTTGTTTGTAGTGAAGAAAAGCTAACAAAATAAGTGGTGAGATCTCTCGGCACTTAAAGTGGGCTTAGCCCACACACAAATTGAGCTGAGAAATGCACGAAATGCACAGGAAATAATGAATTTATGTAATTTAATGTTATACGGTGTAATTCCGCTTTTGAGTAAGAGTTCAATTTGAGGTTAGGTAAAGCCTCGAAATATTCTCCAAGCTATGATACCCTTAAAGTTTATTTATTTATTTTATGGAGCACCCTTTCTTCTAGCCGAAACAACACCCATTTCTTTAATGATCCATTATTAGAAATTATATAATATATTATATAAGTGGAGCTAAGTCCAGTTATTGAGAAAACTCCTTTTTATGGTTTAATATTGGTCTACTTTAACTTCAAATATATGTCTGCCAATTTATAAAGTAAAATTTTGCTCAGTGTATGACATCCGTATGCAAACGTTCGTTGCAATTCAAATCCGGCTCATTGGCTGATTGTCGGCTTAAGCCTTTGTAATGATAATCAAATTATGGTATTACAGATCAAACTGCCAAGAAATTTTTATTTATTATTTTTGAGCAGAAAAAAATATTTGAAACTCGTTTTTACTACGTTCAGAAATTTGTAGGGAAAATTGAGCACAATTTTTTTATTTTCCCTAATATATATTTTAAGTTCTTATATAAAACTTGTAGATTTTCAATCAACTATTTTGACCCTAAATCTCAAGCGCTGCGAAGGGGTGCTGAGCAAATATATATGTTTTTATGTAAGTAATTTTCGGGTTAATCAATCAATTCAAACTTGTTGTACATTTTTCTGAATTTTTTTTTTACAATAATCTCAATATTTCGACCAACCATTCACTCTAGGTTTTTTCTCTTCTGAATTTTCTACGTTAATAATTTCCCTTAATTATATTTCATATATACCCTAATTATAGGGAAGCAAACTGGCACATCTAGATTTGGTAGCTGCTCCAATAAGACATAATTTATTACCACCAACTAACAAACTCACCAGCTTAGCGGTTTTTGTTGGTTTCACTTCATGGCAGCGGGATATTGTTATTAATGTTCGTATCTGATATTCATATTCATATGCGAACTGCTCACCTTCTCCGTCTCCACCCTTTTGTTTTCCACCCAGCTGTGAGGTGCGCCATTAAATGCTTGGCCAAATAAGCGTGTCTAACAAATTTTCAAATTTATGCGAAAAAAACGAATGAAACACAAACAAGGGAAATCACAAATCAAACAACAAATTCAGTGCGCTCGGTGGCATATCACAAGCTATTTTAAGCTTAACAAGCATTTGTACGGCGAATTGAGTGGGATAAAATTAATTTGCGGATGAGAAATATGTGCTGATTGCTTTGTAACGCTTGACATAAAAGGAAGTTTGAAAACTATTTTTCAATTGTGTGACCTTTGCGGCACTGACACTGGCGATGACCTTCGTTATTGTGAAAAAATAATGTTATTAGATTTGTACGTCTAATAATGAATTTCCTTTATTTATTCAAAGAATTTCATTTATTCACATCTCAGGGTGCGGAGAGGAAGAAATTCAATTTTTGCTTGCTGGAAAAATATAAATTTATTTTCAGGTGCTTGCTAATTGCATGTATATCGGTATGTGCATAAATTCTAATAAATACAAAGTAAAGCTCGCTAAATATATTTGTGGTAATTTGTAAGCTTCTTAGATGAGCGGTGAGCTCATTTTAGACCGACAACTCGCTTGACTGTGCTCAGCTATATATTTACATTTTTTTCTAGCCTCAAAGTTTTTAACAAACAATAATTATCAAAAGTGCTATTTTTAAAAGCCTGACATAAGTAAGGGAATGTAAATCAGAGAAATAATTTGGAAAGGAAATAAAGCAAAAATAAGACAAAACATTTTTTTTTGCAGTGAAGGTTATTTTCCTCATCCTTACATTTACATCTCATATTCTGTGTTTAGATCCCGCTTTATACTGCTCAGTACGTTCTATTTGCTTATGTTTTCAGCTTGCCCCGCCATAAAGTATCAAAGAGGCAATGTTGTTGACACATAGCGGACCTGCTAGGCTTTCGACTGTCTCTCATTGATTGTAGTGTACAGAGCTAAATATTTACTCCTTCTAGTAAAGATCTCCTTAAGTATAGCAACCAGTGTAATACCCGTCACTACAGCGCCTTGTGGAAACCCATTACAGAAAGATGGGCTGCTGCTCAAATGACTTTGGAAGCAACTACAGGGACACAGTGAAGAGAGAATCGGTGAAACTTTGCTTCCGCCACTTTCCCAGATCTTATAGAGACTTTTACCGTGACGTGTTGCATTGCCGCTGTATCTGATTTCTGAGCCCGGTATTTTAGGCAAATCTTCTCCAGAACCTCGGCTTAGTTCTTAGAAGCATTCTAGTTTTTCTCTAGAGCTCAAATAACGTCCTTCTATTGGCCGTTTTTTAGGGCATTTCGGACATCTAACGGGGCTAACCGAACTATATATTTATGTTTATTGCATCATCAATGAAATAATTCTATGATTCTCGTGACATTCTCAATGTCATTAAGTATCGATTTTACGGACCTAAACGCCTATTGTCTTGTGATAAGCCGTTTTCAGGTAGGCATACTTTAGGGCGATTGATCACTATTACTTTTAGTAATTCAGCCGTGGGCAATTTGTTGGACTTCAACTTTCCTGTTGCTGCCTGTAGTTCTTAAGTTGTAAAAAATGGTTTTTCTGCAGAAGCTTCTTTAACATATATTTCATCTGCTATTATTTTGTGTTTCGAAAATAATACGGTAACGACTTGGTCAATTTTGAAAGAAAAATAGTTTAGCTAAAAAAAGACAATATAAATAAAAGTTAGTTTTTTATTCAACTTTCTACAATCAGTAGGGAATAAAAGATGTCGTAGAATTCTTTAAAAATAATTTTACCCCATAGAAATATAAATAAAACTCAATAACTGTTCGCATATGAGTTCCGTTAACTCTGCGAAACCTTAACGTTGCTAATAAAAAATTGTCAGCAGCATTTTTATATGAAATATTTAAACATGCTAATTAGTTTTATTGATGTGTCTTGCGGTTGAGCGAAAACCTGATCAGCAACGATCTTGTAGCGTACTTCATCAATTAAGAGGAGAGAGAAGAGAAAATGAATACTTGAAATTCTCTCAAAGTGCTCAGTTGCTGCTCAGTTGCTGCTATGACAATTTACGCTCTTATAATTCTCCTCTTTTTATTGCATCTCTTCTCTATCTCTTAAAATTTATATGAAAACTTGTTTGCTCTTAAATGAAGATACCGAGTGAAGAAAAATGCATTTTCATTCTATTAAAAAATCTTAGCTGTAATTTTATTTTTAAAAATTTTCACATTGAAAACTTTATGTTTTCTTTCAAAATGTATTTCAGAATAAAATTTATTTTTAAGTAGATGTATAAAATTATCAGAATTTGTTCTTATGGATTTAATAAATTAAAAAATAATAATAATTTAAAAAATTTGTTTTATAATATTTTCTTTAAATTAATTATAAAAAAAATCTATTTTGTGTTTATAATTTTAAATTTTCAATAATATATTTAAAATAATATAAACATATACTAATTAATTAAAAAACATGGTACACCTCAATTGCTTTATTCTATATTTATTAATATAAAACAGTATTAATATAATAATAGAAGCAACAAAGTAAAAGCAGTGGGATTCATGAAACTAAGAAAATTTTGTACTGTATTGATTCTCTTCTGAGATTGCAGATATACAAACTATTTTCAAAGTTTTACCATATTTTTGTTCCAATTACCCTTTATTTTAATTTACATTTTACCATTTGTTGTTGTCTTTGTTTTCACATTCTCAATCGCATTTGTTCTCTCTTTCACAGTCTGCTCTTTGGTAGGCCGTTGCATTTATTTGCTTTTCCACGGGATTTTCCGTTTGCACCTTTTTGTTTATATGATTTCATTCATAATTATCGACTATTTTGCGTTTTTATCTTCTAAATACTTTACTTTATTAGTTTATTTACATGCGTACATACGTACACTTGTTTGTGTTTTTCGTCCGTTATCAGGTGTTAATCGTTTGCTACTGATACTTGCTTTGTATTTTATTTTCATTTTCTCCTTCTTTCTCTTCTACTGTTCTTTGTTTTTCAATGGCACATATTTGAATTTTTTTCCCGCTCATTTTTTTTTTTTGTAAATTTATTTATACATACAATACATCCATATATTATATTATTATACAAAAGGAAGCCACCGACCACCTTCCACATTCGGCAACCACATTCTAAGAACAATAACTGGTTTTGCTTTAAAGTAGCCAATTTCGTTGCGAGCTCGCTTTTATGGTTGTGGTTTGCGCCATTTGTGGCAACATAGTGGCATGCCACATGCATACGTACATACATACACATACATTCATGGCTACATGAATAATCGCAAATGCCTGCCACTTTACATGCGCTGTCGCATAAAACTATATACATACATATATATCATTGCAGATTTCATACATTTATTACACCGTAAAATTCAGGAAATAAAAGGCAAAAGGCAACGGAAAAAACGCGATTTGCTTTCTCAATTTGGAATTATTATATGTATAACTTTGTTTACATATGCACTCATACACATGTTCATACATATATGTATGTATGTTGGTTTGATGTTAATTACCCACTTGACCCAACGTTTTTATTTGGCGTTGATTAACTGGTCAGGCAGCTTGCCCAGAATAAAAAATAATGAAAGCAAAAAAAAAAAAACAAAATAAAAAATCCCTCTACATCTCTGAAGACAAAGGAAAGTAAGCAAATTAGAGTTTTATAAAGCTAACTGCATATAGAGAGACAATCATATAAATAAGTATGTGGAGTAACTTTCATTTTCCTTCGCTGTTCTGCCTGAAATTTACCCCAACACTGGCTTTCCCAACTTTTTTTTTTATTTTATTCTCATCACTTTTGCTATTTTGAAGTATGAAAAATACTTGTTTTCTTCTTGAAGCTTCGCTGACAACCTGTAGAAAATTTTCTCTTTCCTCAGAAAGAAACAAAAAACGAAAGAAAAAACCAAAAAAATCGTACACCTCAGTTGCTTTATTCTCCACTTAATTAATACTAAAATTCTTTGTTTTCTAACGATTTGGTGCCACGAAACGAATCGCAAATTTTTAGTGTTTCATAATTTTAATTTCAATAAAAAAAATATAACAGAAAACCAAATGACGAAAATAATCTTGGATGGTGCACCCAGCAAGCTGCGGCTGAATGAGAAATCGGTTAAAATAATAATTACCACAAACAGCGAGTCCACGAAGAATTCTTCCAATCTACTGCACTGGCTGGGGCGTAGTGTGCGGCGGGGATTGTTTGTGCGGAAAACGAAACGTAAATAAATAGATACATTTGTACATAAATACTTTTGTTTGTGTATAAGCATATGAATGCGGATGTACCTATGTATGTATGCATGTGTGTAGGCACGTGGCTTTGTGCCTTAAATGACCAGCAACAGCGCGTGAAAAGGCAATGAAAACAACAAAATAAATTGTGTTGCGCATAAACATGTTGCCAGCTGCCAGCTGCTGATTAATAGCGACCAAATGTTGCTAGAGCATTTGGAAGGGCCTAAATGTATGCAATGCTTTATACTCTCTAACAGACGCCATCGATCCATTCCATTTAAATATATGTGATTATATACGAGATAAAAATAAATTAAGAGTTAACAAAATAAACAAAAATTACATCAAATAAAATGATATAGTTAAAATTTTAATTAAATAAATTAAAATATATAATTTAAATAAAAAACAGGATATGATTTGTTAGAAAAAAAAATTAAATAAAAATAAACATAATTAATTTATATTAAAAATTTTAAAATAAAAATTTAAAAGTATGTTATTTTAAGCCACTAAAAATCATAATAGTTAAACGTAAATTAAATAAATAAATGAAAATGGATTAAATTATTTTGATGTAAATTGAATAATAATAAATAAAGTATTAAAATAGAATTAAAATAATTAATTTTAATCAAATTAAATTTTTAAAATAGTATAATGTAAACCAGAAGTCAATTATATTGAAATATATTATGTAAACTTAAATTAAATTAAATTAATTAATGAATGTGTTGAAGAAAGATAAATTAAATAAAATGAAATAAGCAAAGAATAAAGTAAAATAAATTAATCTGAAAAAAATAAAACAAAATAAAATAAAACAAAATTTATAAATTAAAGTAAAAATAAATTAAAAATAATTTAAATTCTATCATTTTATTACAATAAAAATGGTGAGCTAAATAAATTAAATTAAACCAAGTCAAACAAATTTAAACTACATAAAAGTAATTCTAATCAATTTTAATAAGAAAAATAAAACAAACAAAATTAAAAAAAAAATGAAATGAAATTAAATTAAAATTATTTCATATTTAATTAAATTAAAATATATGATATAAGCTTAAATTGAATGAAATTAAATTAAACTCCATTAATTAAAGTGAAATAAACTCAAATTAAATCCGGTCGAGGTAGCCGAGTGAATCCCAGTGAGCACCACCATGCAGAAGGTCGTGGGTTCCAAATATCAAACATTATGGAATATTACTTAAAACAATAATAATTTCAGCAGGAAATGTCAACACCTCCAAGTTTACTACTGACATGAAATAAAGGTCCTTAGCTTAGAGTAGACTGTAGGTACCTGCATTTGCTGGAAAAGAATTGAGAAAAAAACTACAAAAGTGTTGTTTCAGCATGGCTAGAGCGTGCTATATTCTATATTGAATTAAATATATAAATTAATTATGTAACAAATAAAAAAATATTAAATTCAAATAAAATACATGATAAAAAAAAACAAAAAAAATAAAATAATATAAAATAAAATTCAATGAAATGATTTGTTTTAAAATTGCTGAGTTCGAGCACAATTGAAACTTATGATTAAAAAAAATATTTTTTTTTTTCAATAAAATTTTGCAACAATAAAAATGGTAAATTTTATAAAATAAAATGTTTTTAAAATCATTTTTTGCTTAATTTTATTACCAATATTAGCTTTCGTGAATTTTAATTATTGATTTTTTTTTTTTGCAGAAAAACGTTATCCCTCACAAAGTGTCATTGGCACACCCTCTACGCCGTCCACGGCAGTAAGCACACCGACGGGCAGTGGCGGTGGAAATTTGAAGCTGAAAAGTCCGCCAACAATCAAGAAATCCGTTAAAGGTGAGCACAGCGCAGAGTAAATTTTATATATATATTTTTCTTTTTTTGGTTGAAGAGTGTCTAAATCAAGTAATATAACCCATTTAGTAAAAAACTCTGGCTTGTTAGTAGCTGAAAAATAGTTTAATTGTGCTCGAAAATGTAATTACAGCAGTCGAAATCAAATCGAATTGCCATTTCGCACGCAAAGGAATTAAAAGAAATTTTCTGCCATATGTCTAGTATATATGTATGCATGTATGTGTAATCGCCTTTCTAGCCTAAAGTCTCTGTTAAAAATTATGATAAATGTTTTGACATATGTCAATTAATCGAGCAAAAGCGTGTATAAGTATGGTGAAAAGCGAAAACCACAAAAGGCGAAATAAACGAGTCAATTAAAATGAGAATGAAGACAATAAAAGTCAATTTGTACCCAAATGGTTTTGAACACCTACTTATATGAATTTGTCTGTATGTATGTATGAAGGCAGTGAAGAAATAAAAATGAAGAAAGACTGGATAGGTCTTAAACCCATCAGCATGAATGGCGAACACCCTTTAGCGGCGAGAAATATTTGAAGCATTTCTAATGGATTTTCCACTCAAAGCAGTCATATTCAATGTGATTGTGTGTGTGTGTGTGGGGGGAAATTTATCACCACCTTCTTCCAACTGCGTGTGGCAAAACCTGAAGACAAAGTAGTTATATATACTAAAGTCAAGATTTATAGTAATTTTAATCATAAAGGCAGAAAATGTAGTTTGCGTCGTGGGTTGGTCAATAATAAATGTCAGTATGTACGTGTATGTATAATTGGAAGTTACAACATAATTGAGGTGACACATGACCATGCTTTGTGTAGTATTTTTTATGGGATTTTGGGAAAGTGTGACAAATAAATTAGAGAAGAATTCATGTGGAAACAACAACAATATCTTAGCATCGGTTTAATAAAATGAAAGATGTTGAGACACGCTTTTAAAAGCGCCGCAATCAATTTTCGAAATATTATATTGTATATGCGGCTTATAGTGTTTTTCACTGCTGCCAAACTATTTATGATTTATGCGTTCATTTTGCCACTCAGTTTCTTCATGCAAAACTACAGTACATAAATATATAATATGAAAGTGTGCATATTCGTATTTGGGCACGTTTTTTGTGACTCCCAAGCACTTAATTAGCTCACCCATTTACTTAGTCAAACTTGGAAAGTACAAAAAAACTGAAAAGCCTTGAAATGAAAACATAAAACCATACGTGTATAAGTACATATAGAGGCAAATTAAAAAAAAATGCAAAATTTTTCAAGTGACAATTTTTCTATGCTTCACGCTTTTACATTAAGGTTGTCATATTTCCGCCAAATTTTAGAGCTCAAAATATAATTGGCATCGCAACTGGCCTAATGAATTCGATGGGTTTAAAAAACTAATGCTATTATTGTTTATGTTCACTCATTTTTTTTTAGCAAAAGCAGAAATAATTTATATGTTTTGATAAAAATACAAAATTAGGATTTTAGCATCAAGAGTATTGCTCGGTGCGGTTTAAGCGTAAAAATTTATCAAAAAATTATTTTTATTTATTAAATTTTTTTTGGGACTACCCTAATATGCATACATGATTTAATGTATAATTTTTTATTTACGCATAAGCTACAAGTTGACAGCGATGACAAAAATGTTTGAGCTCGCTCAACATAAAAACCAAGCGGAAGAGTCTCATGCCTTGGGCAAGCGGGAGTAGTAGTTAATGTGTATATGTGTGTATGTGTGTATGCATGTTTGCCTTTTGGGCATTCGTGAGGAGGTTTGTAGGAAGTAATATTTACGTTTAATTTACTTCACTTTACGCAATGCATTTGTAAAAAATATACATTTCTCCTAGTAATCCTGGGGACAAATATACATAATATATATACATACGATTTGTATGTATATGTGAGAAAATTTGTAAAAAAAAACGAGTAGGCGCCAAAATAGTTTAAATAAATGTAGAAAAGGTGTGAGTGTGTACATATGTATGTATGTATGTATGTGTGTGTGTAAATGCGCTTGCAAATAAAATCAAAAGTAGAGCAGGCACGTTATTGTGTCATTGCTTGCATTATGTATAATCATGATATACATATGTACATCATAAGTATATATATGCTTGTATGTATGTATGTAATATTAAGTTAGTGCATTTTCCATGAATAAATTGCATTTTTGAGTTAATTTAAATATTTTACTAATCTATTTTCTGATTGCTTTGAGCTATTTTTACAAGAGTTTCATACATACATACATACATACATGAATATACTCGTATATATTGTTTGTTTTAAATTATGTACTTTCATTTATGCGCTAAACTTCGCTGATATATTTAATATCAAATGATGCTGAAAATATTTTTACATTCAATGGCAAATTAACAAAATAAAAAAAATAAATAAAAATAATTGCATATCTAAGCTAATTTATCAAATTTTTGTTTTGCCCATTTTTTTAAGGTTAATTTCTCCCTTACTATAGTGCAAAAGCAGTTTAAAACTAAACTCAGCCACTAATTTTGTTGTTTGCAGTTATATTATTTACTCTAATTTCAACAAGCATTCACCAAAAAGTTATTAAATTAATAAGAATTAAAAAAAAATTATAAATAAAACTCGGCAGACGTCCCTCTCTCTCTCTCTCTCTCTCTCTCTCTCTCTTTCTCTCTCTAATATTCAGTTTAGAATTATATAATAGTTAAAGAATACTAAAATAACGAAAAAAATATGGAGAATTTTCAAAATCATTGATTTCAAATGAACAACTCCAAAAAAAATATTTGTCTAAGCTTAGAAGCCGTTGCGCTCTATAAACTTTTGTCTTGAAGGGGCAACGCATCTTCATATCAAAAATCTTGCCTCAAATTGCTGCTGCATCTGCGCATTGCGTACATTCATCTCGAGCATTTTCATTCCATTAAGAGCTGGTTAGTAAGCCTTCCAATCAAAAGTAATGCTCTTTTACAGCTCATTAACTCAAAAGCAATGATTGTGAAATGCATAGCATTGTTATTGTTAATTAGTATACATGCCATGTTTTTTTAATTAATTTTCAAAGGAATTGCGCACTTTTTATACACAAATCTATCAATGCTCGGCAGCAGAGCGAAATAAAATTGTAACAATTAATGTTTGTGGCGTTAAAATACAAGTTGTAATAAAAATGGTGAGCTGTTGCAACAACCAAAGAGGCGTTGTAAGTAGTCTCGTTATGTTAGAGCAAGTTGCAAATTATATTTTTATGGGCTCGTAGAGTTAATGACTCCGCCAACAAGTAGATTTGTACATATGTCTGTATATATCCATACATAATAATAAATATTTTTGCGAATGTATTGAGGTGCCGTGGCATTAGTGCGGCAGTTATGGCAAGTGCCTGTCTATAAGTGTCGCATTGTGGGAAATCTTTGAGTGATTGAGAACTTTTAATTTGCATAAAAAAGTGGCAGAATTCAAAATTCTGAGCCACTGCGTATTTAGAAGGGATTTATCGATAACGATAGTTTTTAAGAATTTTTAGATATTGCTAAGTGTTTTTATAAATTAAATAAATAAAAATAATTTTTCATATACATTCACTGCAGCAAAGGTAGATTTTTTCAGAGCTGTTAACAATGGCTCAATGTAATAACTTTTCAAATCCTTTTAATCGTAATCTAAGTAAATTTAAAAAAAATTGTAGATAATCACAGCACTGTTCGATAAATTTTTATACAAAATTTGCCAAAACTGGCCCAGTGTAGTAAACAGCGCGATCGTTACGGCTTTACGCACCTTGAACACTTTTACTTTTGCTTTTAAAGCGTACAAATTTTATTACTATTAGTTGTTAATGTTTTTTTTTCTTACAACCGTTACTTATAATGCTATGTTTCGTTTTGCAAATTTCACTAACGTTTTGTTTTTATTTTTCAATGCGTTGAATATTGTGCGTAACTGATTTTGTTTGTAATGATGATGGCTTTTTTTTATTTAATTTTATTTTTTTATTTAACTTATTTTTTTTTTTTGAAACTATTAGTTCTATTTTTTATTTTACTTTAACTCATTTAATAAAATTTAATTTTATTTAATTTATGTTATAATATTTTATTTTATTTTCATTTATTCTATTTTATATTGATTTTTTATTTTTTACTTGGTTGCGTTTATTAATTTCCGCTGTTGACATCAATATTTGCAATAACAAAAAGTGAAACCTTCCTTTGCAGAAATTTCGATTATTTTATTATTTCAAACAACATTTTTGAAATATTTCGCAACATCCAAAATCATAAATTAGTAGCCATAAAAGAATAAAAGGTTTTTCTAGCCGCTGGAACTATATTTATTTTCTTTAGCGTTTTTAATATTTTGTTAGTTACAACAATAAAACTTTTTCGCATTGATAAACAACCATAAAAACGTACTTGGTCATTCAACTGAAAACTAAAAAATAAACGATTAAAGTATATAAAAATAAAGCGCGTATCATCTATTCAACAATTCACCGCCAATTCCTTGACGGCGAAATTCGTTTACGTATTGTTTTTTTTTTCAATAATCGCAATAAAAGTTACAAAATTATCTACAACAGATAAGCGTGATTTTCGTTATTTCCAAATATACCGTTACAAGCAGTTTGCATGCCGATTGGTTAAGTGTGAAAATCTAACAAAATTCGAATGTGCAATTGTGTGAATTATATTCGAATGCATTTTTTAATAGACGAAAACAATATTATTGTTGTATGTTTTTAATAACATAAATACGTACTGCAGATATATTAATAAATCAAGCAGAATGTTCAGACATATTTTTTTGTTTTAAAATTGCTTTATATTGATAAATATGATAAAAATAAGCAAGCTTTTCAATTTCAATTTTCTTCGCAGTCAATTCCCACATTTTTTAATGAAAAACATTTAAAAAAAAATATGATAATAAAATATAAATTCCGAAAATTAAAATTTATTTCCTATATTATGAGTTCATAGC